CCACACTGCATGGTGGGGGTGGGGGGCATGGAGTGTAGCTGACAAAATCGGATCTTCCTATGAGAGCCTCCAAAAGTTGCAGAAACAGGGATGAGACAAGATCCTAATTAAAATAGAGATATTCACTAGTTTCCCAATATTGTTTTCATTTCACTGCAGGGAAAATGCGATTTCTTGGGGTCCTGATAACTTTGACCATCATTTAGCCTTGCTTATTAAGCAGGTTATTTTCTCAAGTATTACATTAAACAGTGTTATAATAAATGCATCATCTGTATTTCCCCCAGCCCCAGACAATTTAGCTGTAACAGGTCTTTCATTGTGAAATGTAAACTGACGCTTGAGAATTAAAGACCCGAACAGTGAATTTAGTAACCTTTGCCTGATAAACTGACAAGTGCCCAGCCCCCCCTTTTATGTCATGGAATTGCCATGGTTTGGATTTTGAAAAGATCAATGTGGCAAGAGTGTAAAAGACAGGGAAGGAAGGATTGATGGAAATCAGCTGGGAATTCCTGTATTGGTCCAGGTGAGAGAGGTTAGTGGCCATAACTAGCATGTTGGGGGGAGTCGGGGGGGGGGTAAATAAATGGACTTGCAAAATATTTAAGCAGCAAAAAAATTATTTTGAGCTTTCAGTAAACATCTCTTGGGAAAACTACTACTGAAGTCTAGATTTATGTAAGGCTAGATTTCCTGATATAAGATTTGTAAAATGGCTGTGTGAGAAAATTTCCTACTAGGAAGACAAAGTTTGAATTTGTTTTTATTTTGTAACAAATGCAATGAAGAGTAAAAATGTCTCAACTATTTAAAAACTTTTATTCTTATTTTCAGAGAATTTGAAGATATACAGACAAAATCTGACATGTGAATTTGTAATTCTAAAAATAATTTCACAGCAGAGAGAAAGCACATACCTATTTAGTGATATGTACATATTTTTTTCAAATATAAAGATATAAATGTATACTTCTGAAATAGTCTAAAAATATAACCTAAAACAAGAAATCTTTATCTAATGTACAGAAATATACAGTATGCTTGTAGGAAAAGTAGTAGTAAAAGTATGAACAAATAAACCATGTGTAAACACGATTTTTAAGTTTTATGAGTATTGCATAAGTATACATTTTGCGTTTATGAGATAATATTCTTTCAGGGAATTCAAATCACATAACAAAGGCTATATGATTTATCTCTAGGATGGGGGCACACTTCATCAATAAGCATACCTGATCTCAAAGCAGGCAAAGTGGGGACCAAAGTAAGACCCAAACTTTACCTGTACAATTACCATTTGCATATCTAATCCTGAATTGTACCCCACATCCTTAAAATAAAAAAATTATCTCTAATGGTACAAGCTTTACTATTGTTCCATTTACTAGATGGGAAAATTAAGGCATGGGAAGTCATTTTCTTAAAATCAAAATGTTGGCTGGAGTATACATTAGTACAACCTCTATGGAAATCGGTGTGGAGATTTCTCAAAGAATTAAAAATTAATATTTTTAAATTGTGATTGAACTTCAGAATGTTGCCATGTACCACAGATCCTAAATCAGGTACCATAAAATTTTTTAAAAAATGACTGAAACAAATTGCCATTAGAATACACACACACACACACACACACACACACACACACACAATGCCTGTGCTTGCTTGTACAGATACACAATTTAAAAACTGTTGATTCATCCACATCCCAGTGCCATAGAAGAAACACACTAACACAATAATTTCAGAGTCGTTTGGAATGAATCATTAAGGTATTCTTATATAAGAGGTTCTGACTTCATTAAAGTTCTATTTAAAATAGAGATGCTCACTAATTTTCCAGTAATGTTTTCATTTCAACGCAGGAAAAATACAATTTCTTGGGGTCCTGATAACTTTGACTATCATCAAGCCTTTCTTATATTATGAAGCAGGTATTTTCCCAAGTATTACATTACACAGAGTTATAATAAATACATTGTCAGTATTTTCCCCAGCCCCAGACAATTTAGCTGTAATAGGTCTTTCATTGCGAAATGTAAACTTATGCTTGAGAATTAAAGACCCAAACAGTGAATTTAGTAGGGCAGAAGCGGAAACATGTAGTAACATTTGCCTGAAGAACTGACAAGTGCCCAACCTCCTTTTCATGTCTTGGAAAATGCGAGAGAAAACAGGCTTGTAAGCAATTCTGTGTAAGTGAAGACGGCAGTATAAGTTAAGTGTAAACCAGAGAGCCTTGTATTCCAACACACAATCCACTTCCCTGAGCTGGATATAATCTGGACAAATACCATCACCTAGTGAGACAGTACAGTTTCTGGAAAAATTGTACAGAAGAAAGAGTATGAACATTAGATTCTAGATGTTCCTTATATGCTGTTGCAATACTCTGGCTTCTGAAGTTTGCTTTCCAGGAATGCAGAAGCTGTAAGCACCATTCTTGCAGAAGGATAGGTAGAAATTGTTGCTCTTGGTCTTGGAAAAAATCTGAAAAATAAAGTATTCCCCGATAATATATCAAAGAAGTGTAGTAAAACAAAATAAATTATTAGCAAAAAATAAATGCTGTAACTAAAATTGCCATGGGCCTTTGCCAAAGGTGTGGTTCATCATGATAAACACACATGTTGTCCTTGCTGAAGACTGGGAAGGGTGGGGAATGGTCTCACAATTAAGCTAAAATACTTTCATTGCTTGATTCAACTCTGCTGGTTGCAATGCTCTGAAGTTGACAAATTTCCTAGTGGCACTGACACTCGGGAAGGAATGATAAAGTATTAATTGTGGGTCTCATTCAGAAATTTCATCCGTAACTGCATGTTTCTCTAAACAGTTCAGCCATACTTGGATGGATTTAGAGTCTGTAATACTCAGTGATCTATCACAGAAACAAAGAACTGAGTACCACATGTTCTCACTCATAACTGGACCCTGAACATTTATCATAATACTATATGAAAGAGATAAGCAGTAGCGGATCACTGCTGGGGGGTGGGGGCATAACATTATTATGGTACCTGATCCCAAACCGGGCAAAGTGACGACTGATGGGAGGCCCAAACTTCACTGTATGCTGACCACTTATGTACCTAACCCTGAGTTGTGCTCCACATGTTAAAAAAAAAAAATCCAGCTATCAGCAAATGTCCCTTAATTTGTTATTGGCAAATAGCAACTAGTTTCAGGGAAATTCTAGGAGGTACTGATAAAAGAGCAGAATGACTGAGTCTTGGTTTAAATGCTGACATGTCATCCTAATAAGCCATATGTTGCAAATGTCATATTTACACAAAAAATGATATTAGAGGTTTCTCAGGCTAACTTTTGATCACTTCAGTAGTTTTGAGTGCATTTTAAAGTGTAATAGGATAAAATAACTAGACTTACAAACTCTTCATCTCATTAAGGAAATTATTGCTCAGGACAAGGCTAACGTATGCTATTAGGCCTCTGTTGATTCGGTAGTAATGAAATAAATAGCACACGGATATGGTAAAAGTTGTGAAGGGAACAGGAGAAATCCTCTCCTGTCTGAAAAGATACTGAACAACATAACAGGAAAAACAAATCTCCCATGTATTTTTTTATACTCTTTTTTTTTGAGTTGGAGTCTCCCAGGCTGGAATGCAGTGGCAGGCTCATGGTCACTGCAACCTTGACCTGCTGGGCTCAGGCGATCCTTCCATCTCAGCCTCCAAAGTAGCTGGAACTACAGGCACACACCACCATGCCCAGCTAATTTTTTCCTTTTGCTTTATTGTAGAGATGAGGTCTCACCAAGTTGCCCAGGCTGGTCCCGAACCCTGGGCTCAGGCAGTCCTCTCACCTCCGCCTTCCAAAGTGCTGGGATTATGGGCTTGAGCCACCACACCTGGTGGCATTGTATTTAATACAGGCTGATTAATATATACATGTACATAACATATCATCATATGCCATAAACCAGGACTGTAGGGCCAAATACAGCCCACACCTGTTTTTATAAAGTTTTATTTGAGCACAGCCTTTGTGGGCAGAATAATAATAGCCCTCCAAAAATGTCAACATTCTGATCTTTGGAACCTATGAATATGCTACCTTACATGGCAAAAGGGACTTTGCAGATATGACTAAGGTTATGGACCTTGAGATGGGGAGACTTTCCTGGATAATATCTTGTCAGAGAGATGTGATATAGAAAGGAGGAGAAAATCACAGCATAAGAGGGACTCAGTGGTAGTTGCTGGCTTTGAGATGAAGGAAGGTGTTTCATGAGCTAAGGAATGTGGACAACCTCGAAAAGCTGGGAATGGCCTTCTGCTGACAGCAGCGATAAAATGAGAACCTCAGTTCTATGACCATAAAGAACTAAATTCTGCCAACAATCCAACTTAGCAAAGAAATAGATCCTCCCCTAGGAAGGAAATGGAGTCCAGACAACATTTAAAGCCTGGAAAGAGCCTTGTTGAATTTCTGACCTACAGAACTGTAAGATAATAAATTTGTGTTGCTTAACCACTAAACTTTAGTAATTTGTTATGGCGGCAAGAAAAGCAACTACAACAGCCTACCCATTCGCATACGAATTGTCTGTATCTGCTTTCATACCACAAAGCAGTGTTAAGTGGATGTGACAGAAACCCCATGTCCCTAAAACCTAAAATATTTGCCATCTGGTCCCTTACAGAAAATGTTTGTCAACCCCAGCTATTCACACACAAAACCCATGAACAGCAGCTAGCATTTACGGAACACTTAACTGATGCCAGGCTCTGGGTTGAGTATTTGGTATTCATATCAATTTTCTGTCAAGTATTCTCTTTTGGACTTCATTTTACAAATGAAACAAACAAAAAATAGAGGCAGAGAGGCAGGTAATTGTTCAAGATCACCCAATGAGTTAGAGGTGAGCAGGGATTCAAACCCTACCTTGCTGACTTCTCAGCATGGCTCACCCCCGCTCATCCACAGATCCTGCAGAGCATAAAACACCGTGGATGCTCACCTGAAGTGCCTTATCGCTGGCAGAATGCGATGGGGAGCTCCCGGCTGGGCACCAAAATGCCCGAGTGCAACATCTCGACAGGGTCATTGTCAGTGGCCACAATGTCATATTTGCGGACAATCTGGAATACACATGCACAAAAAAAGCACAATGATCCCTCTCTTCTCCTGAGTTGTGAAACAGCACAGAACAAAACAGCAAAAATCCAGTAAGGGTTTTACCCAGCAAAGAGCCAGATGGAGCTGTAGCTCAGCTAACCGGCGCCCAATGCACATTCTCTTCCCGATGCCAAATGGCAGATGTGCAAAAGGATTGATCTTTTTCTTCTCTTGAAGCCAACGTTCAGGTCTAAACTGACTTGAATCTTCAAAATTGTCTTCGTTGGACCCCAATACTTGGGTATTTAGCATCAGCACTGTCTAAAAACCACACAGAAACACAAAGCATTTAAAATAACCGGAAGAGAAGATTTGAATGGCAACAAAACTGGTCACCTCACAAATGTAAAGATGAACCCACAAGTTTATAGTAATGATGACTGCCAACATGCATTCTGTGCTTAAGCTGTGTCAGGTAATAAATAGGTAAAGAACTTCAAAATTTTGCATCACATTCTCACAACAACTCCATGTTATAAATTATATTATAAACCCCATTTTACAAATGAGGAAGTCAGGGCTCACAAAGTTTATGTAACTCACTCACAACTACACAGATAAAAGTGAAATGGAATACAGGTCTCTGTCTTCATAGACATTATTTCGAATCCTATACTATGCAACATGTCAGCTGTGCACTACCATCTATGTATTTCCAAAATGAGTGGTCTCCGGTAAAAAGTGTAGGGAGATCTTGTCACAGGTTCTTAGGCTCTCGTGTAATAGAAATTGACACGAGGCCAAACAGATTCCCAGAAAAGGCTTCACTGGGGGCTTGTACAGGAAGACTGCTCTGGCAGAAGTGTTCTTTGACTGGCTCTCTGAAGGAGACTCTCTAGAGTCTTTTATTAGGTAAGGGAAGGGGTGTAACGTCAAAGAAAAGGTATGTTAGCATGATTAGAGAAGGGTTTTAACTGTTAAAGTGTAGTGTAGACATACACTTCTTCATATGTTGTATGTACAAAAAATGACGGCTAAACATGCCCAGGGAGGTGGGGATTTCAGTGTTATAATGAAGCAAATGTTACAACCAGACACTCTCTGGTCCCTTTGCAGGCACAGGAGAGGGGCAGACAAGGGGGCTACTATCCCAAACAAAATTTACGGTGAGACATTGTTTATCTTAATAGTATGGTGAGCCATTGTTTATTTTAACCTGTTTTCCGAGATTATGATCTGTAGGATGGTTTCAACTGGAGTGTTATTGTAAAGTCTGGTGGTTGAAGTTTGGGAGGGAGGCCGAGACCTATTCCAGCTCTGTTTCAATCTGATACTATTTGGAAGGGGTAAATGTCAAGGCTTTGCCAGGTACAGAATATGCAAATTGTACTTACTCCTTTGGGTAAAGCGTATTCACCCAGAACTGTTGCCTTGTCAAGAGTCCGTGTTGTAAATGGCACACTTGGAGTGAGTCTGAAAAAGCAAAATCAGAGATGTAAAGGTGGGCATAGACCAAGTTCTCTCTGAACGTCCATAGGAATGCAGTAATTGGGTAAGTCCATATTCAAAAGGGAACTCTTATGAAGAAGTTCTGTCTCTTTCTTTCCAACAGCTATATCTCTTGTTTCTTTTTCTTATCTTATTGTGTTAGTTAAACACCCTTAGTGCCAGGCTGGTTAGTACTGTTAAAAGTGGCTTTCTCCTGTTTAATTCTAGACTTCAATATGTATATTTCTTATGCTTCACTTTGAAGAGTGACTTTTGTCCTAGGTTTTTTTTTAAATCTATCCTTCATGACGTTAACTCTGTTTTCATTTAATCCTAAAGTGTGAGTTTGGAAAAAATAACTTTTGAGGAAAACATTTATTTATTTATTTATATCTTTTTTTGAGTCAGATTCTCACTCTGTTGCCCAGGTTAGAGTGCAGTGGCACGATCACGACCACCACAGCTTTGACCTGGTGAGCTCAGGCGATACTTCTGCCTCAGCCTTTCAGGGAGCTAGAACTACAGGCACACACCACTATGCCTGGCTAATTTATTATTATTATTTAATAATAATAATAAGACCCGTCATGTTTCCCAGGCTAGTCTTAAACCCCTGGACTCAGGTAATCTTCTCACCTCTGCCTCCCAAATTGCTGGGATTATAGGCACTAGAATGAGAGGCTCAAAAACAAAGATGTCTCTATGTCTTATTCTATAATAATATGGCCCTTTTGCTAAGCTTTCATCTCATAGCCCTCAATCATGTCCTGCTCTTAATTAGCACGTATGGCATTCATTACAGTAGTAACACTATTGATTTAAAAGGGAGGTCACTGGCTTTCCAAGATTTAATAGAATTTGCCCAAATGATTTAGGAAATGAGTAACAGAAAAGAAATATGGTTCCAAAGCTCTTTTTTGGAGTTTGATAAATGTTTATGAGGATCTAGGGGTGCTGTTTTTGAGTGAGGGACCCCTTGCTATGTATTTAGGAGAGGAGTTTTCTAACATATTCCTATTGACTTACACATATTCTTACCTCATAGATTCTTTTAGACAGGCTTTTAAATATGGCATATTCCTCAAATTCTCTGCCCGTGGCATCTGGTTCTTGGGCAATGCACTTTGAATTTCCTTAAGAAGCTTTTGTTGCACTTGGGGATTCCGGGATAAGTTATAGAGAATCCACATTAAGCTGTTAGCTGTCTGAAAGCCAAATGGACACAAACTTAAGGTTTTGCAAATAAAGTGCCTTAAACTACACACAGCTGAACAAGAGAGGATGCCAGCGACCTTACTCTGCAAGTATGTTATGGTGGTTTTCACATGTCCTGATCTGCTGTGCCTTAAACAAATCCAATAGTATATGAAGAGTCAGATTTATTTTATGAAACTTATTAATGAAGTATAGCTTGTTTACTGAGGGAATCAAAATAAAATTTTGAAGCAATTAACTGCTTTAGGACATTTTTCAAATTTTAATGACACAAAAATTGTTTGAACACAAATGAGTGCATGTAAAACTGGCAAAACAAGAATCAGATGGATGGATTTTATCAATGCCCATATCCGTCCGAGTTATGATAAAGTTTTCTTGTCATGTGAGAAGTTACCATGAGGGGAAACTGAATTCAAAGGCTCCCTCTGTATTTTTTTCTTAGAACTGAAAGTGAACGTAAATCTACAATTATTTCAAAATAAAACCGTTTCATTAAAAATTATTTGATATGAAAATATTGATACAAAAGTTGAGCTGAGAGAGGGACAAAGATCCTTGAAGTGTTGCTAATAGGAGACTTTAAAAACACTTTAAAGTATAAATGCACAAACAACCATATCTCTGGATTTAAAAACTCTTTTGGCCACACCCTAAAAAGTTACAGCAAAACTAAAAAAGCACTATCTACACTCAGGGTTTCAGCTTGCAAAGTGCCCTTTTCGGAGGGTGTCAACACCCACATTAGCAATTCGAGCAATGAGCTGAGTATTTCAAGGAATCAGCCACTGTTTCTGACAAAGACCCATGCCTTTTAAGTGGTATCCTTGATTTCCTCTCCAAAGGCAATGCGAAGAGAAAAAATATCAGCGGAAACAGCCAGGGTAGCTTTTAGCTACATAATATTCACCACTAGTAGTCATATGTATTTGTTTTTTAGGCCTCTCTTAGCTAATTTAAGCCAAATATTCCCTAAAAATGGTCATTGTGCCCCCCGTCCGCAGACTTGAAGACGCTGCTGCTAAGTGCCGTGTGCCACTCACACAAATGAGCAAAGTGCACGACCACTCAGAGCCAATGGTTACTTATTTTTTTTGGAAGAAGATGCCTCCAAGGCAATCTTTGTGTCAGAGGACTGGCAGCCTCAGCTGCAAATAAACTGTAGATGGCATTATTATGAGAGTCTAATTTACAAAACAGGAAGAGGGCGTAGCCGCCAAATTAGATACACTTTCAAATTGCTCTGATTTTCCAAATGTGACTTTCAGAATAGCCTGGACTAAAAAAGAAACAGATTTAACCATATCAGTGGGTCCCTCACCGCAGTGACCAAATAGAGTTTCCAAAAGGCAAATAACCAAAGCCATGGAAGACAGTCTGGGCCTGTCAGGAAAATGGCAGGGGCTGTTTCATGGGGAAAGTGGCCTGGGAAACCTTGCGGGTACAAACTGTCCTGGCTTGACCTCCTGGAGGAAAGCGATCTCATTAACAGGCCTTCTGCATTCGCTCTTCCTCTGCTAAGTTCATTCTCCACGCATCAGCCAGGGTCTACTTTTCAAAACATAAATTGATCAGGTGACTTCCTTGCTACAAGAGCTTCCTGTCACAGGTGTAATCTAGTCCTACTGCTTTACCAAGGCTCACAAAACCCTGGTTAACATGGCCCATTGACTTTTCTCATCTCAACTCTTTGCTCGTCCTCTAATTCTACCTCTCTTTCTGCCCCAGGACCTTTGTGTGTGCTGTTTACCTGGAGGGTTCTTCCACCAGGTCTTCCCATGGCTGACTTCTCTTCATTCCAGAGTCACCTCCAGTATTACTTCCTCGGAGAGGGACCCCCTCATCCCTACCATCTTCATCTGTCTCTAGTACATCACCCTGAGGGTTTCCTCCATGATCCACCCCTCTATCGAAAATGATCACATTTGCTTGTTTACATGTCTATGGTCTGTCTTCCCTAATAGTATACACATTTGTCTCTGGTCCATGGTGGTCTTGCAGGAACCTGGGATAGTCCTTGGCACATAGTAGGCACTCAATTATTCCTTAATTCTTTTGTATATTCAATAAACATTTATGGGCCACCTACTAGATGCTAAGTAGTGTTCTACATCTTGAGAATATGGCAGAGGCAAATCTTAGTTATTGCCCTCACAGAAGTCACATTTCAGTTGAAAAAAAATAAGAGTGGGTGGAGCTTGACTTTCATTGTCTGAGGAGCCTTTTAGGGTAAGTGATTCAATAGGACAGTGAACTAGAATGAATGAATGCCTGCTTTCAACAGCCCTCTTGAGCATGAGGAGAAATCAGAACCCTGCTATTGCCTGATGTAGACAATCCTACTTTTCCTTCAGACAAGAAACAGCATGGAAAGAGAAAAACATGGGAAAGAAATGAACTGGCCTACATTCCACTTAGAGACTTCAAGGTGTAGGAAGTGTTGGATTGATGGGGGAATATTAGTGTGCATTACCCCAGACACAGTTCAAATAATGAATCCAAGACAAACCCACCTGAACATTTATGCCTGGATTGGTGTCTGCAGTTTGGCAGCACTGAGAATTTACTAGGACTATCAACCACATCAGAGACAAAACTTTGGTACTTAAAATGAGTTGTTTCATGGGCAACCCCCTCAGGTTCCCTCCCACTGTGTGAGTTTTTCTGTCCTTTTAATAAATCCTGCTTTAAACAAACAAGCTGTTCCAGTGTGGCGATTTCTAAAAGAACTAGAAATTGACCTTCCATATGATCCAGCAATCCCCC